CTTGATGATCTTCCGAGGTCCATTCCAGCCTTAATGTCTATGAAATTTATGAAATCTATGAAAAGAGCCAATATGGTCCCTATTTTCAAAAAGGGAGGAAGGAGGATCTGGGTAACTAAGTCTATCCTTAGAAAAACCCTTGACAAAATTATCAACAATCAGATTTGTAGGAGTCCAGCGGGTAATATAATGCTGAAGAGCAACAAGCATGGGTTCACAGCAGGTAGATCCTGCCTGACTAACCTTGTTTCTTTCTATGACAAGGTCACTAAATCCTTAGATGCAGGAGTCAAGGCAGATGTCATCTACTTGGATTTTAAAAAGGCCTTCAACACGGTGTCCCATCGTATTGTCATAAACAAACTGAACGATTGTGCCATAGGCGATTACACAGTCATGTGGGTGGCAAATTAGCTTAAGGGTCATACCCAGACAGTATGGATGGGTTGGTATCAACCTGGAAAGATGTGGGCAGTGGGGTCCCCCAAGGCTCAGTCCTTGGGCTGGTGCTGTTCAATATCTTCATCAGCGACCTGGATGAGGGCGTGGAAAGCACTCTGTCCAAATTTGCAGATGACACCAATCTCTGGGCTCAAGCAAACACACTGATGGAAAGAAACCAAATCCAGGCAGACCTGGACAGGTTAGAGAAGTGGGCAGAGAACAATAGGATGCAGTTCAACAAGGACAAGTGCAAGGTGCTGCATGCCTAGGGAGAGGGAATCACCAGCACACCTATAGGCTGGGGGATAACCTTCTCAGCAGCACAGCAGCAGAAAGAGATCTCGGAGTCGTTGTCAACATGAATATGATTCATCAATGTGACAAAGTAATTAGCAGAGCTAACTGCACTTTGTCATGCATTAGTAGGTTCATCACAAACTGGTCCAGGGAGGTGATGCTTCCCTTCTATGTGGCACTGGTCAGGCCGCAGCTGGAGTACTGCATCCAGTTCTGGGCACCACAATTCAAGAAAGATGTGTACAACCTTGAGAGGGTCCAGAGGAGGTTAGAGGCCTGCAGGGAAGGCCTTATGAGAAAAGGCTGAGGGACCCGGACCTTTTCAGCCTCCGCAAGAGAAGGTTGAGGGGGGGATCTTGTGGCAGTATACAAATTCACTAGGTGAGGAGGGGGTAGCAGGGAATAGGAGATGCTCTGTTTACCACAGCACCCTTTGGAATAACCAGAAACAATGGTCACAAGCTGATAGAGAGTAGATTAGGTTGGATATCAGAAAGAACTTCTTTGCAGTTAGGGCTGCCAGAATCTGGAATGGGCTTCCAAGAGAGGTGGTCCCCTACCCTGGGGTCTTCAAGAAGAGGGGGGTGCACCCCATGATGAGTGACATCACCCAGAGCATTGGGGAGATGCTTGATGTGGATAGGCAGCCCTTCTCCTTTGTTGAGTATCAAGGGTTCAGGCAGCTCATGGCACTTGTGAACCTATCCTACTAAGTGCCCGCGTGCACCACCCTTAGCAGGATGGTGGTGCCCTCACTGTATGAGGCATGCAAGGAACACTTGAGGGAAAGCTGCACAGGGCATGGCTACAGGTAGTTTTGCACTTCACCTCGGGCATCTGGAGCAGCCAGGGGTGGAAATCATGCCTACCTCTCCCTCACAGGGCACTGATGTGATCAGTCAGGGCTTCAGTGGGCTCTCCTTCAAGTGAAGGTGATGGGAGATCATGGTGGCCACGAACCACATGGCGCAGGGGTGGCTTGTTTGGCAGGGTGAGCTCATGCTCACTGACAATGGGGCCAATATGGTGAAGGTGGGGCATGATGCCAACTTTGTTGGCACCCACTGTGTGGCACACAAGTACCACCTCATAGTCAGGGATGCCTTGGAAGGGGACAGGGCTCCTGGTGACGGCACCATCACTACCACTACCAGCCAGCTCATTACAAAATGCAGGAAGGTGGCGGGCTACTTCTACCACAGCATCAAGGGGGGCAAGATGCTGTGGGACAAACAGGCA